AGGGCAGTGTCACTGGCCCTCATATGTGGGATCCGAACCGGGGCCCTCTGGCATCCCAAGCGAGTTCTTAACCATCGCGCCACTCGGCCGGCCCTATCATGGACTTTAGAGATCAGGAGATAATTTAAGCCCTAGTTCTGACAAGGCCTAACCTATATATATATATATATATCCTTGAGCAAGTTATTTAACCTTTCCAAGTCTCAGGTTCTTCATCTATAAAACAAGAGACATTTTATATCATTATATTAACGTATTTCTTTAACGTTGTTTATTTATGTGTGTGTGTGTGTGTGTGTGTGTGTGTGTGTACACAACTCTATGCATCTCGTCTAGAGAGACCATTTGAAGAAGAGTAACTTTTACATAGGGACTCAATAAAAATTAGTTTCCTTCCCCCTTCCCGTGATGGAAGCGCTTTGTACAAATGAAGAAAATGTATCCTTTATATATCAGTGAGCAGAAGCAAGAAAAAAAAGTAAAAGAGCCAGATAAATTGAGAGAGGGAGGGCAAATGCCATATATTTCCTGGTTCATGAATGTGTATGAGACTGTGGCCTGATATTAACCCCGAATCCTAAAGCCAACCCCATTGGACATATTCATAAATGCAGCTAACCATTCTGTGCCCACACAATAAACGTGTAAATTCAGTTACCTTGCTGATTATGTGCCCATTTGCAAGCACACTGTCCTCTGAAAAACTTGGCATTGGAAATATATAGCCAATAAAAAATTGTCTAAATAGGTAATATTTCTTGCTCACTTAATGATAATAAGATTTTTAATTCCATGCCTGTGAACCACAGCAGGTCTTCTCGAAGCCTGCAGCAATTTTTAAACTTGGGAGTTCAAAGTAAAATCTTTACTACTAGATAATGACATCCATTAAACCATTTTTATTCATAAGTCAGAAGCAACCACTAGAATTTCTACCTACCTCTTTTCCAGCTGTTAGGTAGATATAGATATTCTTCTCAGGATGAGGAACAAGTTTATAGAAAACAGGTGTTTCTTCTTTAATTTCATAGATAACCTCCGGACAATTTGAAGTCAAATTTTCACCAAGAATAACCTATTTTTTTCCAAAAAGAGAAATACAATTTCCATTAACTATTTTGAATAACATAGTGACAAAAACTTGCAGCTTAACTCTAAAACCACATCCTTTCTTCCTACATATATTAGCTAAGAAACCATGTTCCTCAATCACCCGCTCATGTTTCTCTTCAACAAAGTTGGTAATAACAAGTGCAGTATTTCTGCTTTTATAGGAGACAAAGTCAAAGTCTCACACACACACACACACACACACACACACACACACACACACACACAGAGCACTCTTCAATGTTGGGGCCGTATCCTCATATATGGAAGCTTAGAAGTTTATCCACAATTCCTGACCACGTCTGATCTGGCCCCATGAGAAACTACAAGTGACAACGTCCTCAGTACTACTTATGCCAGGAGTGATCTTAAAACTAAAGGAAGCCAGCTCAATATTTGCCTGGGTTACTCTGATTCTCCCATATGATTCTACATATAGTCACACATTTTAAAGTAACCAGGACAACTTAACAAGCTTAAACAAGTAATATGCTATACAGAGGGTACCCCCATAAAATGTGTACACGTTTTAAGAAAGGAAAACACTATTATATTAAAATTGTAATACTCAATCTATACTGATAACAAAAGATGAATGTAAGTCACGTTTGACTTCTGCAATTACAAGAGGTGCTCAAAGTGGTTACCATCAGCGTCCAGACACTTCTGATTAGGGTGAACTACTGCTTGAGCAATGTTGACCAAAGTATCCATTTGTATCCATTTTTTTGGCACCCCGGGTATATAAAATATAAGCAAGTGTGGCTTTGAAAATGGACAAAACTGAGTTTCACTCATCTTCAGTCAATAAACATTTACTGAATGTCCAGCATGTATCAGGCATGTTCTAGGTGTTTAGAAAATGTGAACACAATAGGGCTGGGGGAGGGAATCCTGCCTCATAGAACTTACTTACACTCAGGGGAGTGATGGGAGACAGTTAACAAAAAATATGTAAATTATAAAATATATTAGCAGGTGATACAAGTCAAAATAAAGCAAGGTAAGGAGATGGACAATGCGTGTTCAGAGTAGGTCTCATTGAGAGGTGACATTTATTTAGAGACTTGCTGTAGATGATGGAGTCATTTAGATAGCTGGACAAAGCATGCTCTTAGAAGAGGGACCCACTGGTACAAAAGCCCTAAAATGAGAGGAGGCTGCATGGTTTGAGCAGAGCAAACAAAGTAGAGAAGAGTGGGCAGTTAGGTAATGGAGCGAGAAATGTAGGTTCTTGTAGGCCTGTGTAAATATCTGGCCTCTTACGCTGGGTGAGAGAGAGGCAGCCATTGGGCTTTGAAAAGAGGAATGATGTCATAAGAGGGCAGGGTCTAAAGCACTGGTAGAAGACTCATTAGGAGACTGTCACCATAATCCTGGAGAAATATAAAGGTAGCTTGGGCTCAGGTTTGCATCCTGGCTCGACCCTGTAAGTGGCTGTGCTGCTTTGAACTCGTCACTTAACCTCCCGGGGCCTCAATCTACTCATCTCTAAAATGGGGTTAATCATGCCTTCCTTAAATACAGCTATTGTAAGGATCAAATAAAATTATGAAAGATGCTTAACACATAACCAATATTCAATAGATAATAATCTATTACTAGATTAAAAGCCCCCTTTGCGTAGGGACCATATCTTACTCATCTTTGTACCCATCTCATTGTCCAATACAATGTCTTCAAAAGTGAAGGTGTTCAACATATCCAGATATAATACCGACATCTGTATCTCTACCACTGGGGACAACAGTTATATTGGGCACGTGATTTTTTTTTTTTCTTAAAGATTTTTATTGGGGAATTGGGGGATGGGAACAGCGCTAGGAAATTGGGGGAAGGGGAACAGACAAGTTGCTGTCCTTTTGTTCTTTAGTCTAGTTGTGGAGGACGTTACTTCACTGGCCCAAGTTGGCACCATCATTGCACTCTTCCCGGGCAAGGCAGATCAGCCACCGGCTTCTGGAGGGCTGCTCACAGCAGCTGCTGGCCGCTCACGCTGGCTGCTGGCTACATACGGTAGCCCATGGCAACCCACTGCAGCAGGGGCTGCAGCCTATGCAGTGTCACTGGCCCTCATATGTGGGATCCGAACCGGGGCCCTCTGGCATCCCAAGCCAGCTCTTAACCAACGCGCCACTCGGCCGGCCCTGGGCACATGATTTTAAAAGAAAAATTGGCACCTGAGATTCTTTTCAGACAAAGTCAACATTCATGCATCTCCTGATCCATAATATTCCTGTACCCACATAATATTTCTGATGGTTATTACATATTGCTATTTCATCAAAAGCTCCTTATCCATTTGGCTCACAGAGCATCTTCCTGCACTCGAACCCGCTCCCAGAACCTGAGCCTGAGTCTGACTTTGTCCTGAGGTGGTGACTTCCTTCCATCATCTGTTCTGGGTCAAGCCCCATGGATTCAGTGCAGCTAGCTCAGAGCCTGTGAACTACCCACTACATTCAGTAGCAGTTCTATAAACATCAATCTCAACTAACTATATTAAACGTGGCTTTTTAAAAAGGGACAGAAGCAGTTAGGTCCCAATGCAGGTGGGACAAATCTGTGCCTCAAGTCATTTTAAAATGTCTCTATGGCTACACCATCCAACACAGTAGCTGCTAGCCACATACGGCTATTTAAGTTTTAATTAATTAAAAAGTCAGTCCCTCAGTCACACCAGCCACATTTCAAGTGTTTACCAGCCACATGTGGCTAGTGGCTAACATAGTGAGAGTACAGATACAGACCATTATTTCCATCATCATGGAAAGTTCTATTGGACAGCGCTGGCCTACAGAAAACCGAGTGAAGGGAGACATCCAGCAAGCGCTGACCAAGTGTGCACTTGCCAGGCTCTTGTCTGCCCATCTCTAACTCCTATTCTTTTTTGGGCAGCTCAGATTCAAAGAGTTGATCCGGTTCTAAAAAGTGGTTGTTTAGAGAAGAGACAGAAAGCCAATTAAAAAAAAAAAGATTTACAGAAATATTCTCAAGTGAGACAAAAGCAAGGCTGCTGCCCAGGTTTCTCTTGAGGAATTCGTCATGCTGGAAGCATCCCTGGGCAGGACTATGTGTGATGTATTCTTACCCATCAAGCTGAACCTGAATTGAATGAAGCCCATAGTGCTAACTTTCACTTAGTATTAGGAGACGCAGAGGAACAAGCCAGAGGACAGTACGAGAGAGGGAGAACTGCCAGTGCCACCATGTGAGACGTTCACAGGCAGCAGACTTCGTTTCCTTATTCAGTCAATGGTGGTGAACAAAAGGGGTGACTTCCTCAAAAGGTCAGTGGCAGGCAGCACATAGAAGGAGGCCACTCCAGATTAAGAGAAACACAACCACCAAATGTGATTTGAGTACCTTATTCAGAGACCCGTTTGAACAAGAATAATTTTAAAAAGATGGTTTTGAGTCAATCAGGAAAATTTTGTTATATGGACTCACTATTAGATAACGCTAAAGAATTACTGATGATTTTGTTAATTGAGATAATAGTGTTATGGTTATGATTATTTAAGAAAATGATCATAGTTTTTTTTTTTAGAGATGCATAGTGAAATGTGTGGGGGTAAAGTGACATACTGTCTAGGATTTGCTTTAAAATAAAAAAGTAAATAACTACATAATTTATAGTAATTGCAGCATGGTGGTTATAATGAAGAATACTGTATTGTATATTTGCAAGTTGCTAAGAGTAAATCTTAAATGTTCTTGTCACAAGAAAAAAATGTGTAAGTACATATAGTGATGGATGTTAACTAGACTTATTGTGGTGATCATTTCACAATATATACAAATACCGAATCATTACATTGTACATCTGAAACTAATCTAATGTTACATGTCAATTACATCTCGATAAAAAAAGTTTACAAAACACCACCACTCCTTGTCCACTTTGAGTTAGAGCTGCACTGCATTATTATTGAGATTATTTTATTTTATTTATTCATGGAGCATGGATGCATGCGGGTAGGGGCTAGAAAGATCTAGTTTGGGGCAACTTAGATTTATTCACTTGATACATTGGAGATGAGGCACCAGTATTCTGTCTAGAGCTCTGAATTATGGCAGAGAAGTCTTTCTTTCTTGCATGAAAAAAAATAATTACCAAATTGCACTATATGACAGGGTTTGTCAACCAAGTTCCCTGAGCAAGCTACCTAGAGCAGCTTACACTGAGGCTTGTCCTGATAGCCACAGATGCTCGGGTTGAACTGTTGTTTCATTGATGGTGGGAGTGAGACTTCTCTGGAAGGTAACTTGGCATTATCCATCAAAATTATAAAGCACATACTCTTAGGCCCTGCAGCCCCTTGTATGTATGTGAAATGATACGAGTATAGGTCCGTGGATATTCATTGCAGCATCATGCATTATGCACAAAAGATTGAAACAACCTAAATGTCCAACCACAGGGAACAGGTTCAGTAAACTATAGTACAAATGATAGAATACTATTTAGCCACAAAAATAAAAAAGCTCTGTGTTATGTTAAATATGTAAAATTTGTATACACATATTTTATGTACATATGCATGTATATATAAATTTAATATGTTATATGTTTAATGGAAGAGGGGAAAGACTATCTTGCCCTTTTGCTTGCAGATGTACATAAAATATCTCTGGAAGGATATCCAAGAAACCAATATTATTGGTTGCCAGAGGTTAGAAACATGTGGCTCTCACTGTATATTCTCTTGGTTTATTTGCATTTTGAACAATGTCAGTGTATTATCTCAAAAAATAAATGCATACAATTTAAATGTAGAAAGTGTTTGAGGAAGAGTGGGTTCAATTGTGTCTCTCTTTGCTAGATTATACAGAGAATGGTCTCCAGAACCCTGAGGACAGAACAACACATTTTCAGTTTCATCACAAGGGACTCAAACATGATACACGCAGGCATTGGGGTCCCTGCTTCTGTAGTCCTCATCTCTCAGATGACTGCAGGAC